AGAGGGAGGGGTAAGAGAGAGAGGGAGAGAGAGAGGAAAGAGAGAGAGGCTTTACACTTGACAGCGTATCATCTTGTGAAGCGCTTTGAGACGTCTCGAAGACGTGATAAGGCAGTCGATGGCAAACGCAAGGATTATTATTGCTACGGTAAACCCTCGCCTTCGGTTTAGCGCCTCACGCGCTGATGGGCAGACGGTGACGGCCAACATGAGGACCGAATGCAAGTGCCACGGCCTGTCGGGCTCCTGCGCGGTCAGGACCTGCTGGAAGAAGATGCCCCACTTCCGAGAGGTGGGGAGCCGCCTGTTGGATCGCTTCAACGGGGCCTTCAAGGTGATGGGGGGCAACGACGGGAAGACCCTGATCCCGGTCGGGCAGAACATCAAGCAGCCCGACAAACACGACCTGATCTACTCCGCGGAGTCCCCGGACTTCTGCCTCCCGAACCGGAGGACAGGCTCCCCCGGCACCCGAGGCCGGGCCTGCAACGGCACGGCTTTGGACGTGAGCGGCTGCGACCTGCTCTGCTGCGGCCGCGGCCACCGGGAGCAGACGGTCAGCTTCGAGGAGAACTGCCAGTGCCGCTTCCACTGGTGCTGCGTGGTCCAGTGCAGGCAGTGCACCGTCAGGAAGGAGCTGAGCGTCTGCTTGTAGCGCGGGTGGTGGTGCGAGGGGGGGTGGGGGCGGAGGGGGGGGCGACGCCCCCACACCCCTCCCGGGGGGAGAGAGGTACGCGCGGGACAGGTTCGTGCAGCGCCTCTCGCCTCGGGAGGACGTTCCCAAAGCGTTGGACGGTCAGGGTGTTTTGCGCCTGGAATTTAACTAAACATTATAGGGTGGGGGTGGGTGGGTGGGGGAGTGGGGGAGTGGGGCGGGGGTTGGGGGGGGGGGGAACGAGAAACATTACGTCGTCCAAAGAGAAAAACTAATGGAGAAACGGACATCGCCAACAACAAGAACGACGCCAACAAGAACGACAGCAACAACTTACACTCGTACAGAAACCTTTTTGGCGCCCCCCCCCCTCCCCCCGTGGGGGTCCAACAGATGACCTTTAGTGACAAGCACGAGATGCGGAGGAAGGGAACTGTACGACTTACTGACTCCACATCCGTCGGGGGAGGCTTGCCAGTGATTCCCGAGAAAGAGGTCTGAATCGTATCACAGCACCTAAGGGTCAACGAGGTGGGACGTTATCAGTTTGGGGATGGGTGGGTGCGTGGGTGGGTGGGTGGGTGGCTGGGGAGAGGAGTGAGGGGGTTAGGAAGGGAGGTGGGGGTGGGGAAAGGGGGAGAGGAAGAGAGAGGCGGTGGGGGGGCGGTGGAATGGCTTAGGCAAATTATCGAAAGATTAAAGGCAAATCATATATAATTTCTATTGAGCTATTTGGTACCCGGGGGTTGCCTTTGTACCCCTTTGCGTTCCACAGTGTCGGAAAGTACTGCCTTTCCCGTGCGGGTCCCGAAACCATTTGCCCCCCTCGAGCAGAATTTTCCAAGGTTGCTTTTCCTTCGTATTATTCCTTCTCCTTATTTTTTTACCATCACCGCGTTGAGGGTTTTTTTGTGCTCGACTGCCCGTTTCGGGGCGGAAGAGGTTATTTAAAGAAGAAAAGTAACGATGTTTACCTGTTGTTTTAAGGTTAACCTTTTTCGCTTATCAGTTATTTGACCGAGAGAACGCACGAAATTGTAATGGTTTATGTTTCCCCACCTGAGCACCTGTCTAGCTCCACAGTGCTTGAGGCTGTTAGAGCACTGACTGAACCCGAGCTCCTGCTCGTACGGTGGAGATGGACTGATATACGTCAGGTGCGACAGCAACTTGCGTTCATACGGCGTCTCGGACCGCTCGACAGTGGCCGAACCGCCGTTAATTGGCGCTGTGAGTCTTCAGCTCACTGCATGGCGTATCCCGCGAAGCGCTTTGAGACGCGATACGACGTTCACTCGAGACATCCCCGAGCGAAGATAGCCACGCACGCGTTCCTCCGCTCCGTTGCTAATACCTTAACTGTCGTTTGTTTGTTTGTTTGTTGTTCTTGTTGACACCTTAACGATCAAATGAAACAACGGAGGCCGGACCTCGAAGACGTGATAAGGCGCTGTGTCAAACGCAAGGATTGTTCTTCTTCTTATTACATCTCGTTGCTGAGAGGCGAAAATGTTTCAGACTTAGCGATGGTGTAGAGTTCTTAGGCTTAAGTAGGAGCAGTTTAGTCGGCTCTGATATTCCACGTGCCTTTCGCGAGATCACCAGAGAATCCGTTGAAGAAGGAAGGCCCTTCGACCCATTTGACAGGACGCCCACCCACCCAAAGCCCTCCCATCACAGCGGCCAACTGTGTTCTTGTCCGCACGTCTTTCTGCTTGTGTGTGACTATACATTTCTGTGTGGATTTTCTTACCTCTGCGAGTGTGTGTCTGTTTCTGTGGTGTGTCTCCTGCCTGAGCGTGTGTTTGCACGTGTGCCTGTGTCTGCGTTTCCCTAACTGTCCAGCGCCTTGGGATGTCCTCCTGATATAATTTGTTGTTTGTGTGTGTGAGTTAACTTAATCTTGTCTACAGGAATCCCTCTGATTTTCGCAAAAAGTCTCTTAACACCCCCACCCCCCCCCCCCCCCTCCACCCAACACTGACGTCGCCAACAAGAGACTTGTTCAAATGGCAATAAAGAAATTCACACCCTGGCTCTCTTTGATCTCTCACTTCAGTAAGAACCGACATATTTGGACGTCGCAGGCAAAAGAGTTGCCCAACCGTAGGGAAGAGCGATGAATCACGCTTTCTCAGAGAGACCGCTGAGGAGATCCAACTTGTAGATCCAAGTCTAGACTTAATTCGGATTTAGTCATTTAATTCGGTGAGAAAAGGGTGGAGCAATTGGATGTTAAGAGAGGAGAGCGTGATAGCGAGATGGATGGAAGATATTCTTTGATGTGTCTACGGAGGGCCTGATTGACTATCCTTGGTGGGGTTGGGGTGGGGCTAAGCAGGGTCTTCTTAGGGCTTCAGATAAGGACCTTGCTCTCCCGCACTCCCCCTTTGCCAATTCAATCGCAATTTTCAAGACTGAGGTTGATAGATTTTTGTTCGGGTACAGTATCAAGGGAAGGACATGGGTATAAATGGAGTCGAGGCAGATCAGCCATGGTCCGATAGAATGGCAGAACAGGCTTGAGGGGCTGAATGGCCTCCTCCTGTCCCCATGTTCCTAAGCCAGCCCTCCTCACTCAAACGAGTGAGAGGTTTAAAGGTTCACAATCTCTTTCCTCTTGGGTGTCATCTGGCACAGGCAGCAGCGACGACGACGACGACGACAACGACAACAGCTTGCACTTATGTAGTGCCCTTCGAGACGTCTCAAAGCGCTCCACGGACTATGCCGTAAAGCGTAGCGACTGTGGGTGAAACGCGGTAGCCAATCGTGCCCGGCAGTCGGTCGTCGGGCAACTAATTATGGTCGTTAGGCAAATGAAAAGTGTGCGTCTTGCGAACACTGCAAAGATTCAATGGCGCAATTGTTTCGGAAGTAATAATAATTATAATAATAGTAATGTTATTATAAATGGCCCGGGGAGTGGAGGTGAGAGCGGTGTTGATATTCGAAACACAAGGGGGACATTCGAGTGACGTTTAGAAAGGGATAGGACAAGTTTATTTTCCCACGAAGGTGATGTTTAACTGAAGTGTTCTTTTCTGCCCGAGAATCCAATCTTGCTTCCCTTCTGCCGAGTGCGACCTGTTGTGATCTCTCTCTCTCTCTTTCTCTCTCGCTCGCGCGCTCTCTTTCTCTCTCTTTCTCTCTCTCTCTCTCTCTCGGATGCCTGGGTTTTGTTGAAGCAATTGTTCAAAATATCTCGAAGATATTGTCTCCTTTTTACTTCCTGCGGGTCACCTGAAGAGGTATATCCCTTGAGATCTTCGTGTCCAGGTGGTACAGCAACAACCACAACAACTCGCGTTTATACCGCGCCCTTCACGAGAGGTAGCGTCCCATCACGCAACCAGAGGAGGAGGTACGAGGTTTCATTCGCCGTTAAAAAACTGGTACCGCCATTCAGATGTCCCGTGTGTATTAATGCCTTCCAAACAAATCATCATAAATTGGTCCACGCCCATCCACGACTTTGTGCGCAATCGGCTGCCGCGTTTCGCCCACAAAGTATATACAGTCAATTCACTTTACGGCGTATCCTGTGAAGCGCTTTGAGACGTCTGGAAGACGTGACAAGGCACTGTGTCAAATGCGAGGATTATTATTATTATACGGTTATTATTCAGTATTTACTACGTGCGATTTCCTATTGTATTTTCGTTTCTGGCCTCGATTGTTAAAGTGTTACTAAAATCTGAGATCTGTCTGGAACTATTGCCCTCTCTTTTTCTCGTCGGTGTTATTCAATCTCGCGACTTAATTGGAAATGTTTGCTTTTTGTCCCCGTTGACACGGAACACCCCAACCATTTTGTTTGGGGGCCAAAGGTTGGGCAGGTCTCCTTCACGCGCCTCTGTTTGCTGAGCAATTTGTGAAGCGCTTTCGAGAAGTCTCGAAGACTCGATAAGGCGCTATATCGAACGCAAGGATTGTTATCCGTAGTAGTTCGGAATTACTGCCTCAGAACAAAACAAAGTACTGTCGTCACCGCTGGCAAACCATCACAAGTAGCTTCTGCATCGATTTAAGCTATCAGAAGATATCAATATATCCAATTCAATGCAATATAACTCCTTTTTTGCAGTCAGCGAAGTGTCTGACATATTGAGACATGTGTTAGACATCCAGCTGACCGTATATATATATGTGTGTGTGTGTTCAGCTATTTCAAAACAATATTCGTTTTGATGTGAATTAAATAGCAATAAGTTGAGTTAATTCTCTCTCTCTCTCTCTCTCTCGGACTGTGTCATTCCTCTCCTGTCCTTTCCTGTTCCCCGTTCCCCTGTGTGCTTTCCAAATAAATAGACACTTCACCCTTCTCCTTTCTAACGCTGTGGTCCTCAGTCTTTCGGGAGTGGTTTGTGGCACTGGTTGGGTTTTGGAGGGGGAATGATGAAAGTAAAGAACCGTTGGAGCAAACAGGGCATGGAAACCTGGAGCTCGGCGGTTAGAGCCTTCTCGCCTCGCAAGCGCGAGGACCCGGGTTCGATTCCCGGGCGGGTCAGGTCAGGGCGAAACACTGGGCAAGTTTCCTTACTCCACACACACACACACACGCACACGCACATACACGCCTCTGGTTACCCAGCAATATCGCTTTTCCGGGGGTAATAATCCCTTCAAAAAACAATAAATTCACTTCGTTGAGGTGGGGAGGAAGGGGAGTGGTGGCTTGTGAGATACTTCGCTGTTTAGGATTGCCAGCGTCAAGCACCAAACGATGAGGACGGCAGCAGAACAAAGTCATCCTACGTCTGCCACAAAAACGTGCCTTAACAACAACTCCAACAACTGACATTTCCGCACATCGGGAGGGCGTCCCGAGGCGCTGGACAGACGGGAATACGGACCCGAGCTGGACAGCACCTCCTAGAGGAGCAGAGCAATTATTTACCCGATCCCACATCAAGCCATCCTGGGATTGGGATGGTCAACCTATGGGTAATGTTCTGCTATGATGGCCCATCAATATCTGAGCTCAGACCCACCCTCCCAAACAACAACAACAAGGCATGACATTTACACAGTGCCTTTCATGTCGGGAGGACATCCCAAGGCCCTGGACAGTCAGGGATTTGGACGCGATCAGGGAAGATGGCGGAGAGGGTGGAGGGCAGAGAGGTAATTGGAGAGAGAAACATCATTACCCTAATAATTTAACCCTTGTTATTAACGAGCAGTGGATTGCACTGGCAAGAGACTAGTTATTGATCGCTGGGTTTTATTGGTTTATGTAATAACTTTTTTTTTGTCTACTGATGTCCCCGATGCGCACACAGACAAGGAGACAGGTAGCGATACGTTCAGATGCACAGGAGCACAGTTTTAATCTGCAAATCCATCCTTCGCGAACCGTTTTTATTTTCCCCGCAGTTCTTCTTCAAAAAATGTTTCGGAAACCTTCCCCATTTCCGCCCGATCTTAAACCTCGAAAGCCAAACGGTCTGACGAGATGGCGCGCCGTGTTTTGGGAAATTATTAATACCAATAACGAGCCTTGCAATGGATACAGCCCCTCATCCCGTCTTCGAGACGTCTCAAAGCGCTTGACAGAACGTACTGTAAAGTGAATTGACTGTATATTTGTTAAGCAGTTGGATAGAGAAGCAGTTTCCCTCCCCCCCAAAAAAGAAATGTGTTGCTTTCATCGTGTCCTATGGTATCCCTTACCAAATATCCGCAAACTTACCCGCACAGGTGGACCAAAGAAAAAAATACTTTCAACACCTTGTGGCTGAAGAGTTATTGCGAATATAATTATGTTATTACAAAGAAAAAGCACTCTCTCACACACTGTGTTAGCAAAAAAAAAAACAGCTGGGGTTTCCCTCTGAACTCCACACAGATTATTTCAAAGATTTTGGGACTTTTATTCGTGTTTTTTTGGGGGGTTGGACAGCAAAAAGATCAAAGTTATCATTTTTTTTTTGACATGCACCTGTGGAGTTTCAAAGGGTCAGAGAACAGACAGAGAGGAGAGGGAGGGAGGGAGGGAGAAAGGGAGGGAGGGAGGGAGGGAGGGAGAAAGGGAGGAATAAAGTGGAAAGATAGAGGGAGATAGAGAGTGGCAGAGAGGTAGAGACAACATCAGCGATGAGAGAGAGAGACACACACACACAGACAGACACACACACAGACACAGAGAGAGTAAGAATGACTGGTGATCTATGCATATATCTGCATCCATTCAATTTGGCTTTGAGTTGACTTGGAAATCCTCCCTCCTGGTCTAAGACTGACTCAGTCAAGCAGCTACAAGGAGAAGCTTAGCAAAGGCATTGCAACTTGACACCCAACGAAGAGGAACATGCAATGAGTCTGGTTCTGTACTGTTCTGCCACTGGACCTGGTGTGATAGATCTTGTCCTGTGTTATCTGTCTGTCTCTCCCACCACCCACCACCCACCACCCAACCCAACACATCCCACCCTTCCCCTCCCAAACCAAACCTGTTTTTGCCATCAACCTCTCCAGCAATGGCTAAGATTTCTCTACTCCTCGCCATGTCCCTGACAGTGAACTGGTAAGAGCATTTATTATTCGTGTTTCAGTCTCTGCCAAAGCATATAAATATAGCTGTTTCATTTGAGATCCGTCAACTGTCTCTCTCTCTCTCTATGTGTGTATATATATATGTTTTATATACACAGAATGACACCCAAAAAAAATATAATAAGACCCTGTGTTTCAATAATAATTACTTTCTCATGATTTAATCTCTTTTAAGGCATATTAGACCTTGTAATGATGGTAATCACGACTTTTTGGTGACTGTATGCTATGTGATATGGTGAATGTAATTGTAATACTCTTTTATTTCATTCCCTTGAAACATTATCACTGTGAGGTTTGATGGGTTTCCACCCCCCACCCCCTATCCCCCTTCCCCCCTCCACCTTTTGGAATACTGTACATTTTTTTTCCCTACGAATTCTGGCTGTTGACTTTTTTTTAATTAAAAAAAGGTTATTAATTGCTCTCAACACCCCCCATTATCGTAACCAGCGACTACTAGGATGGTAGAAGACGAAAGAGAAGGAACTTGGCCTTTTTCGTCTAGCGATTCCCAAGTAATTAGTATCAGTTATTATCTGCTTCTCACATTGTCCCCATTGCTATCCTCTTATATTCAAAGGAGGATTGCGTTGTTGTTGTTGTTGAAGTCTTGTAGGGCAACGGTTCGAGCCCTCGCCTCGCAAGCGAGAGGACCTCAGTTTGATTCCCCGGGGGGGCAGGGCGAAACATTGGACAAGTTTCCTTACTCCGCACACACACGCGCGCACACACACACACACACGCACACGCACGTCTCTGTTTACCCGGCAGCGAGTAGCAACCCGGTTGTTAGTCGATTGGCAGATCGCTTTTCCGATCGGCTTAATAATCCCCTAAAAAAAATACAATAACCCCCCCCACCACCCAAATGAATGCGGTCACTCAATCTACGCCATTATCTGCTGCGTTTCGCCCTCAAAACGTACGCTGTGTCGAACGTGAAGGGTTATTCTATTGCTTGTCTTGCCAGCGTGGCAGGGAACGAGATACTGGGGTTGAGGATACCAGCCGACCCCATCTTGACCGCTAACACTGTCTGCCTGAGTTTGCCGGGGCTGAGCAAAAGGCAACTGGGTCTGTGCGTGCGGAGTCCTGATGTCACTGCAGCTGCTGTACAAGGTATTCAGATCGCCATCCACGAGTGCCAACAGCAACTTCGGGACCAACGGTGGAACTGCTCGACTTTGGAGAACGGTGGCAAAATCCTGCAGGACACGGTCATCTTGAACAGAGGTGAGGACACTGCGAAACCCACCCTCTCTTCTTCCTCTCCTCTCCTCTCCTCTCTTCTCCCCATCTCACCAGGATCCCGTACGTTATTATTATTATTATTTGAAGGGATTATTAACGCACCCCCCCAGGAGTTATCAGCGGTTAGGGCCCTCTCGCCTCGCGAGCGGGTTCGATTCCCGGACGGGTCAGGTCGGGTCAGGGCGAAACTTTGGGCAAGTTTCCTTTACTCCACCCACACACACACACACACCATGCACACACACGCACACACATGCCTCTGGTTACCCAGCAGTAAGTAGTCGTTAGTCGATTGGCGGATGGCTTTTCCGGGGGGTTAATAAACCCTCCAAATAATAATAATAATAATAATTTGGTCACTCAATCCACTGCTGTTTGTGGGACGGACGCCGCTGTGCGCCATCGGTTGCCGCGTTCCGCCCCCAAAACGCACAGTCACGACACTTTGCAGCGTATCCCGTGAAGCGCTTTGAGACGTGACGGAAGACGTGATGAGGCGCCGGTCAAAACACAAGGGTTATTATTAATATTATTATAAGATGGAAAAAAGATCCTGAAAGGCTGAGAGACAACGAGAGAATGATTTTAATCGCAAAAGTCTGGATTTTTTTTGGTCTCCTTTTCTTTTGTTGGGGGGGAAAAAAAATCCTTGGCACTTTGCTAAAGTTTTGAGAGAGTCTCCTCGGTTCCTCTGGTTTGGCTGTGACAGACTGATCTTGAAGTCTTAGCCTCAGGGGGACAAAGTTTGGGTGATCACTGGTCATGGGACCTGAGAGAGAGAGAGAGAGAGAGAGTGAAAGAACTGTATAGAGAGAGAGAGAGAGAGAGCGCTGGAGAGAGAGAGAGAGAGAGGACTGCGGGGAGAGAGAGAGAGAGAGAGAGAGAGCGCTGTAGGGAGAGAGAGAGAGAGAGCGCTGTAGGGAGAGAGAGAGAGAGAGAGAGAGAACGCTGTAGGGAGAAGAAAGAGAGAGAGAATGTTAACCTTGCGACTGCTTTTTGTTAAAACCTGAAAAAAGGAGAATATAGAACAGAATATTAAACAATAAAATTGCCCCCCTCCCCCTCCCCCCACCCCCCCCCCACCCCACCGACATTACTGCGGGTGTTTTTTGATGGGACCTTCGCTCTCGGAGACTGGCGGGCGGTTGACGGAAGCGGTGGGGGGGGGGGGTGTGGGGGGGTGGGGGGGGGGGGATTGTCCTATGATACGAATCCAAATTCAAGTCCGCGCACAGGTCTGGGGAAGATCAAAGTACGGTTCAGGAGCGTTTGAGACGTCGAAGTTAATGCGTCCTGTCAGGTTGTTTTTAATGCTGTACTTTCCCTGGAATCCACCGAACGGCTTTTATCATCGAATTTTTTTTTTTTTCGGGGGCCCTACACATTAATTATAGCTTATTAGTAACAGGTATCTATCGGGCTGGGGCGTGTGAGGGAGAGACAGTCACAAGTCCACTTGTTCACACACGTCCCTTGCCTCGAAACGTATAGCTTCACCACCCGACCCCCCCCCACCCTCCCCTCCCTCCCTCCCCACCCCCCACCCAGAGCTGGTACTCCGAGCCGTGGGCTTCTCTGCAAACTCACCGCAAATACGGTTCGTCTCTTCGTCGACCCGCCCCGCGCTCTAAACGGCCGGAACATTCAGACTCCCTTCTATTTCGCGACCCAGTGCTCTGCGTTAGACCCGTATTAAAGGTCTTTCGGATGACATTCTGGGGAATCACTAAGTCACAACTAATTAAGTAAGGCCGTCGCTCTCTCTTTATATATATATGTGTGTGTGTACATATACCCTTCCCGGTTAAAGTACACCCCTTAAAATATAACGGGGGGGGGGGACTGTGGGATGGAGTTCCAGAGGGTGGGGGGCAGAGAGGCACAAGGCTAACGAGACTGATTTGCCATTTGGGACACGAGGGGGTGTTTGGGATTGATCTGTTCGAAGGCGTGCGAGGCCGGGATAGAAAGCTCTCGTCTGCCATTGACAGGCGAGAGATGTGGTACCTTGGGGCATGCACATCTCTGTCAAAATATACGCTCACCTTGTCAAAATCGAGGCGTCTGCTTTTGCACTTAATTTATTAACTGCATTCTTGTGCAATAGCGGCATCAATCCACGGCTTCTCCGCTCTATAATTAATCCTGGGCTTTTTCTTGAACCTCGTCATATTTTCTGTGGCTCAATTGCCTTTTGATCCTGGTGGAAAATCTGACTGAGTTATTAACCTTTACAGTCAGAGCCCCAAAGTGTTTTTTCTTCTTTAGAAAACGACCCCCCGCCCCCATCGCAGTTCAAGCTAGATAGCATCAATAAGCTTTAATGGGAACAAATTGCCCTGAGGCCATATGTTTAACTGGAGTCTGCAGATATAAAGGGCATTTTGTCCTTAAACACTTTACTTTACAGTGGATCCTGTGAAGCACTTTTCAGATGTCTCGACGACGTGATCGGGTGCTACATCCAACCGATTATTAATAATAATAATGATAATTATCCTCGCATTATTGACAATAGTAACCCTTTCGTTTGAATCTAGCGCCTTATCGCGTCTTCGAGACGTCTCAGAGCGCTTCGCGCGATACGCCGCGTGTTTGACGGGCGAAACGCGGCAGCCAGTTGCGCACGGCAGCGCCCACGCACACGGCGGTGGATTGAGTGGCCGAAATTTGCAGATTTTTAGCCTTAACAGTCCCATTTGCGTCGATGGTTAAAGTCGCTGTGTTTGCTTGCGGTTGCCACGTGATTATTCCCCCACGAAACAGTTTTATTCCGCGTCTGTTTTGACGTGATTCGCATCGCACGTGAAAACAGAACTGTGCTTTGCCCCTTAACCCCCACCCACCCACCCACCCACCCACACCCTCCTCCCTCCCTCCCCTTCCCTCCCCGATCCCCAAGGCTTAATTCAATGTATTTGTGCTCCGTACAGGATTCAGAGAGAGTGCTTTCACCTTCTCTCTGTTGGCCGCTGGGGTCACCCATTCGGTGGCCACAGCCTGTAGCCTGGGCAAGCTGAATGGCTGTGGGTGCGACCAGAAGCGTAGGTCAGAGGAGGAGAACCTGAGGGTCAAACTGCACCAGCTTCGAGTCCAAGCCTTGACCCAGGGTCTCCCTGTGTCTATCCCCCAACCCGAAGAGCACTTCCCTGTTGGGGGGAATCAGGACTCCTGGGAGTGGGGCGATTGCAGCCACGACATCGAGTTCGGGGAAAAGTTCTCCCGAGACTTTCTGGATTCCAGAGAGGCTTCCCGGGACATCCACGGGAGGATGCGGATGCACAATAACAAGCTTGGAAGGCAGGTAAGCCATCCGGCCGCCGGCAGATGGGTGGTTGTATTTTGGCCGGTCGGGTTTGTGTCTGACACACGTGGAAACCCGTCGCCGTGACCAGCGGGTGTCTGACACACGCACGCACACACACACACACACACACACACACACATGTGTTAACCTGTCCAACGTGATCAGCCGGGTGTCTGACACGCACACACACGCACACACACACACATATGTGTTAACCTGTCCACCGTGATCAGCCGGGTGTCTGATACGCACACACACACACACGCACACACACACACGCACACACACACACGTGTTAACCTGTCCACCGTGATCAGCTGGGTTTCTGACACTCACGCACACACACACACACACACGCACAGAAACACACACACGTGTTAACCCGTCACCGTGATCAGCCTCCAAACCCAACTGAGAATTCCCTGCCTCTCACCTACACATGGAAATCCCAGAGATAGGTTGTTGCAATGGAATGCTCTCTCTCTCTCGCTCTCTCGCTCTCTCTCTTTTTCCCCCCCCCCCCCCCCCCCACCCCCCGCCCCTCTCTCCGGAGGGATGTATCCTCCTTACCTAATTCTGGAAAGTATGAGGCGCAGGTTGGCAACAGCCCAAAGTGCGGGTTGATGGTAACTGCTGGAGTCTAACCAGCTCATAGTGTGCCATTGATTGTGTTCCTGGTGTCCAGCCAACAACCCTCCCCAAAAAGAATTGGTCATTTCAATCCACTTCTATTTGCGGGGACACTGCCTTGCACGAGTGGCTGCCCTGTTTCACAGTCACTCCACTTTACGGTATATCCTGTGAAGCACTGTGAGACGTGATGAGGCGCTGTATCAAAGGATTATTACTACTATTATTACTCTTGTCGGGCAACCTGGAGGCAGTGGAGCCAACACACCTGTAACATTAGCGAGAAAACTGTGTGTTTAGCGCAAGAGAATGCACGTAATTGCACATTTTAGCAGTCCCAAGCAATGGTACGTCGAACATTTGCTCAGCTAGAACTGTTCTGCCCTCAGGGACTTGGCTGGCAGGGCGAAAGACTTGTCCGCAACAGACAGGCTGGTCAATCATCAACGGCTCCTTGGATTATTACCAACCTGCCTGAAATGTCTCCACGCAGCCCCAGCGCAACCTCTGCGATAACCACGGTACCTTTCCTCCCGTCCCCAGGTCCCAAACCGTTCTTTCCCTTTGCCAAGCCACCCCCGGCTGTTTGTCAGAAAATTCTCTGCCATGTTTGCGCGCAAATATACGGCCTCCCCCAACTACCCCCAGGCAGGGCGAGATGTTGGGCAAGTTTCCTTACTCCGCGCACACACACACACACACACACACACACACGCACACACACGCCTCTGTTTACCCAGCAGTAAGTAGGAACCCGGTTGCTAGTCGCTCTTCCGTGGATAATAATCCCTTCAAAGAAAATACTAATAATTCGGTCTCTCAATCCACGACTCGCCGCGGAGACGCCGCTGCGCTGCAGTCGGCTGCCGTGTTTCGCCCACAAAATGCACAGTCACTTCACCTTGCGGTACGTTCGGTGACGGGCTTTGGGACGTCTCGAAGACGTGATGAGGCGCTACATCAAATGCAAGGATTATTATTGTTATTTCTTATACTTACGGAACGCTTTGCGAGGGTGTGAGGCTCTCGGCATTATATGCCGCTGTGTTTTATAAGACATCCTATTGATTAATCCAACCTCCAATGACTTCCCTCGTCCACTTGTTCGTCAAACCTTACCTCCAGTTCTTTACTCAATGAATTAGTAGCTGACCCAAAGCAATACTGTACCAACGAGGCATAAATTATACCTGGAATTGCTGATGGGAGATGGGAGGGTGGAAACTCAAGATAAGAAAATAAACACAGCCACTCCATAGTCTCGTTTCCCCGGAATATCATTACATTTGCGTTCTTAAGATTCCACCAGTGTAGCCCCCAGCGCTCTGTCTATCACCTCTTCTGTGATTTTTTTTTTGTGTGTGTGTGTGTGTGAAAGTCTTAACATGTTCTCGAAGGGTGAATCCCAGTTGAAATGTAGTTTGGAGTCCCTGTGGCTCAGCGGTTAAAGCAAGCGAGAGGACCTGGGTTCGATTCCCGGGCGGGCGGGCGGGCGGGCAGGGCGGGCAGGGCGAAATATTGGCCAAGTTTCCTTACTCCACACGCGTACATACACACACACGCACACACACGCGCGCGCGCGCACATGCAATTGGCTGCCTCGTTTTCGCCCACAAAATATCCAGTCAATTCCTTTTACAGTGATTGTTTAGGGCGAAAGGCTTTGAGGCGTCTCGAAGACGTGATAAGGCGCTCTATCAAATGCGAGGTTATTATATGTATTATCACGAGCGACAGAAAAGGGTAGGGAAAAAAGCCAGGAAGTGGGATTAGATTGTCGAGCTCCAGCGAACACCCAATCACCACCACGGGCTCAATAATAATAATAATAATAATAATAATAATCCTCGCATTCGACACAGCTGAATATCACGTCTTCGAGACGTCTCAAAGCGCTTCACGGGATATACCGTAAAGTGAATTCACTGTTTTTTTTGTGGTAGAACGGCAACAGCCAATTGCGCACAACAGCGTTCCCCACAAACAGTCGTGTTTTGAGTGACCAAATTATTATTATTATTATTGATATTATTATTTTTGAAGGGATTATTATCCCTGGGGATCGTTGCCAACGGGGGTGAATGACCTCTTTCTGTGTTGGAGTATCTGTGACACAGGAGAAAACATTGTTAAGCTATGACCAGCCCGAAAAGCATATCGCGCAAATATAATCAATTGAGCAGAAGCTTTCGGGTCGATCAGATACGTGCGTCAACAGCTGAGATCTTTCAAGATTTACCGTAAAAGCTAAATTAATATCTGGGTTTGATTTAAATGTTACTGGCAAACAGGCCGGCCCTTCACAAAGCAATTCCTCCAGACATTTTTGTCCAAATAGATGGTTCTGTCTTTAGTCTAAGCGGCTAAATGGAATGAGCTGTTGTAAAACAATTAGACTGTTGGCACAACAGCGATAGATAGATAGCACATCTCATCTCACAATAAACTCCCACTGGACCGGTTATGGTTAAGGCAGTCTGTGCAAAGCGAATGCCTTTGATGGTCAATAATAATAATAATAATAATTGGCTGTCTAATACCAACAGAGACCGTAGCCAACAGTGAAGCAACCTCCCACCTTCCACACCTCCCCCCCCCAACACAATAATAATGATAATATTTGGTGAAGCTCTTTGAGACGTCTCCAAACCACGTGATAATGCGCTGTACCGAATGCAAGGCTTATACTCCCGGCTCAAAGCGCTTCAAAGTCAATCCCCGTCGAGCGTAGTACCTGGGCGTTGGGGTCCGGCCAAAGTATCCCAATCCAATGCGTTGCCAACGGTCCCATTTCAAACCCGGTTATTGCGTGTGGGGGTGGAGCGTTTCAAGAGGAATTCAGGCATTTGTTGGTGCCTGAGATCCGCCCCCAAAATATACGGTCAATTCACTTGACAGCGTATCCTGTGAAGCGCTTCGAGACGTCTCGAAGACGCGATGAGGCGTCCATATCAAACGCAAGGATTATTATTATTATTCTGCATGGATCAGAGAAGATTAAGGGGAGATTTAATAGAGGTGTTCAACATTATGAGGGGATTTGATAGAGAGAAACTGTTGCCACTGGTGGGTGGGTCAGAAACCCGACGACACAGATTTAGGATAGTTGTCAAAAGAACCAGAGGTGGTGGTGAGGGGGGAAATGGTTTCACACAGCGAGTTGTCGGGATCTGGAATGCATTGCCTGAAAGAGCGGGGAGGGTGCGGGGGGGTGGGGGGGAACCGATTCAATAACAGCTTCCAACAGAGAAGTAGATAGATATTTGGGGAGGACAAGTTTGCAGGGCCATGGGGTGAGAGCGGGGGAGTGGGGTTGATCAGGGCTATGGGGAGGGAAAGAGCGGGGGGGGAGTGGGGTTGATCAGGGCTACGGGGAAAGAACGGAGGGGAGTGGGGTTGATTTGGAGCCAGCACAGACACGATGGGCCGAATGGCCTCCTTCTGTGCCGTATAATCCTACGATTATCAACCGTTCCCGCGGCTCCTTAGCTCCGATTCAATTGGTATCCCTCTCTCCCCCTCCCCCCACTCCCCCCCTCCCCCCACTTACCCTCTCCCCATCCCTTGCCCCCCACCGCCCCCCCCACCCTTCCCTCCCCCATCCCAGGTCGTGATGGACAACATGAAGAGGAAGTGCAAGTGCCACGGGACCTCGGGGAGCTGCCAGTTCAAGACCTGCTGGCGGGTCACACCCGAGTTCCGCCAGGTCGGGTTGGCATTGAAGGAACGCTTCCGGAACGCGCTCTTCATCAAGGCGCACAACAAGAACACGGGGCAGTTCAGCCTCAGGCAGGGCCTCAGGCGGAGGATCTACCGGGACATGGTCTACTTCGAGAAGTCGCCCGACTTCTGCGAGAGGGACCCGAGCACGGATTCGCCGGGCACCCGGGGCAGGACCTGCAACAAGACCAGCCAGGGGATGGACAACTGCGACAGCCTGTGCTGCGGGAGGGGGCACAACATCTTGAGGCGCAGCCGGAACGAACGCTGCCACTGCCGGTTCCACTGGTGCTGCTACGTGCTGTGCGAGGAGTGCCGGGTGAGCGAGTGGGTCAACACGTGCAAGTGAGAGGCTCCGAGAGGGTTCCAACAGCGAGGCCTGTTTTTTTTTTCCCCCGAGTCCTCCTCCAACTCCCCCCCACCACCCCCCCCCCGCTTTTGGGAGGACGTCCCAAGGCGCTGGACAGTCAGGGATTTGGCCCCCGAGCTGGTGGGGTGGGTGCGTGGGTGGGTCGGTGGGTGGGTGCAAGGGGAGATGTGTGGGTGGTGGGTGTGGGGGGGGGGCTGGACGGGATCAGGAGCGGAGGGCAGGGAAGTGTGGGGGGGTGGTGGCCTGAAGTGCTCGGAAGAAGAGGAAGGTGTTGAGACAGGCTTCGAAGGAGGTGAGGGGGAGGGGGAAACGAGGAGAAGGGAATGGGGGATGGAGTTCCAAAGGTTTTACGTACTTGACGGACGGACCTGAGGGCGGGCAAAGAGGTTTGGATAGACAGTCACCCAATGTTGGACTCGGAAACTCTCACTAACGCCCTTTCGAAGAGCTCCAATGTTTAAGCAATTGCCCGAAGAGTAACAGGAAATAATGGGCATCAATCCCACACTCTACCTTCTGCAGCTAGGGAGGGAGGGGGGAGGGGAGGGGGTGAGGTGGGGGGTGGGGGCAGATGGTCGGAACACCAACTTTTCCAATATATCTTGTGCCTTTTCCTTGTCTGCGAGCGAGTGCCCAGAATGGCCTTTAGACCAATTGTGCACCTCCACAGCCAACCCCGCTGTTTTTTCTTTAAGGTGTTGCGTTTGAACAACTAGCCTCAACTCACACACACACACACACACACACACACGCGCGTGTGACACACACACACACTCACACACGCGCACACACACGCGCGCACAATCTCCTGATTTGGCTTTGACAAACAAGCAAGCGACCAACTAGTCCCTTTCCACCACCATCACTGGCATCTTCATGGTCAAGGGCAGCCGTGTCTACGGTGACTCTAAATCGCCCGAAAGGACTCTTATCGAGGACGAACCCCCTTTGGAATCCGAAAGAAAGAGCCTTGCTCGTCTTTGCCGGTGGGGAGTTTGGGTTTATCGTCCTATCTGGAGGGGAAAAAGTATTAACAGTTTACGTTTGACTTTCAACACCTTGGCAGTGGGATTTTGGGGGCAAGAAAACTGACCAGAAAAGTTTGAAGCAGACCCTGGGAAAGGTTGGTCGTTGGGTAAACGGCTCGTTTTAGAGGCAATGTGACGTTCACAAGAGCAGAAGAGGTATCTCTTGTCGCCAGTTGACGCGAGGCAGAGCTTGTGTGTGTAATAACAGAGGGCTATTTGTACCACACCAATCTGATTAACATGAGGGGGTGGGGGGGGGGCGTGAAACTGGAAGCAAGTTAAAGCTAAACATTTCTTTGAGTCGAGTTGAACTCATCCCAAACTTTCCAGGATAACACCAGGTTTACGTCAACCAAACAAGCTCCTCCAGATTGCCTTGGATTGCTGATAACCTCAGCCACAAGGCAACGCACGGAGACACGCAATATTTTAAAGCGTTTCCGCTGTGTGTATATGTGTATCTTAAAAAAAAAAAGGATTGCACATGTGTTTCCTTGAAAATGACAGCGTCACACATGGCCTGATGCATCGCGCCACGTGGTGCTCCAACGCTGCAACACAAAATGACATTTTGTACAGCGCTTTTCATCTCGGGAGGAGATCTTAAGGCACCGGACAGTCAGGGATTAGGACGTAGGTGTTTCCCAATGACTGGCATCGAGGGGAAAGTGGCTTTGGACAATCCCCCCCCAAAAAAAAACAACACCCAACAGAAGTGGCGGGGAGCACTCAGCAGGTCAGGCGGCATAGCATCCATGGGGAGAGGAAAGGAACGTTAACCTTTTAGGTCTAAGATCTTTCATCAGAGCTCTGACGAAAAGACCATCGACCCGAAAGGTTAACTCACTTTCCTCTCTCCGTAGATGCTGCCCGACCTGCTGAGCATTTAAACAACAACAACAACAACAACAACAATGTCCATTTATATAGCATTCCTCACGCAGGATAGAGTCCCAGCGAACTTCTGTTCTTATTTCAGATTGCCAGCTTCTGCAGGATTTGGGGGGGCTTTTGGAGGATGCAGTCTTGTTGGGGAGAGAGGAACACACACACACACAGACACACACACGCACACGCACGCGCACGCACAAAGGACGAGAGCGCTCCGAATTCGGATAAAGCGGTCTTGTACGCGCGCACACACGCGCACGCACGCACACGCAATAAAATTCCCGTAGCACCTGTGCTCGCACCTGCAAACACTTCCCAGTTGGAGAAAACGACCCTTTGAAATGGAAATTGACTTGGAGCAGCAGCTGGGAGGGAGAGGAGAGAGAGAGAGAAAAAAGTTTTTAAAAACTTCAAAAGCCGCTTCCCCACATGACACCCCCCCCCCCTCACCCTCTCCCCCTCTCTCCGCACCACCCAGTCAGGTTTACAGTCTTGACTGTTCAGTGAAACACTCATTTATTTCACAACCCCGAGGTTTTTTTTTAAAAAAAACAAACGTGCCCAGAGACTTTTGGACGTAGTCCAGTCAAAGTACAAGTACGTAACTTTTTTTTGTGGGGGTGGTGGTGTGGGGGGGGGGGGAATGAGTAAGAACGGGACACGCGAGGGGGAAACTGCGTTTGCGCTATTTATCCTCCTCCTGAGAAATCCCTTAGTCCTCGACCGCGGTGTTGTTTTCTTTGTGTGGAATCGTACGAATCGTAAGTGCGTTGTGTGTTTGTGAATGTTCTATTTAAAGTGTGACTGTTTATGTGAGGAAGACTGCACTCGAAGCAGCTCTGCTCAAAGCCAGGTGGTCCCAAGGCGCCGGACAGTCAGGGAATTGGACCCGAGCTGCTGGAGGGCGGGTAGGTAGGGGGGTAGGAGGGTGACCGAAGGCTCGGTCGACAGAGGAGGGTCTTGAGACGGGTCTCGAAGGAGGCGAGGGGTTACCCGCGAAGCTTTCGACACAACGAGGCACGACAAAAATACACTATAAAGTAGATTGAGCCATCGATTCTTAACGTGTTCAAGAATTCCTGTAACTGGGGCAGGATGTTGATGTGGGTGTGACTCATTACCACGAACGCTCCGTGTCTAGAGATGGACGTGAATTCTCAGGAGGATTCAGAAGTTATTTATTGGCTTATTGAATACAACCCCCCCCCCACCCACCACCCGCCACCCTCGCCGGGCTCCACTGGCTCCCCATCCCTCAAGCAATGCCGTTCTTATCCCGAATACGTCTGCCTTTCACAGTGGATACTTAGCGGTTCTAAAGGAGTCTTAGCCATGTTTGCATGTCGCTTAAACTCGTTGACACGTCTTCTCTTACCAACCCCCCCCCCCCCACCCCAAGCCACAGCCCGCTACCTCCGCTCGACTGTCTCCAGCCTTCTGCACGTCCCTCAATTCCACCATTGGTGACCAAACTTTCAGCCACTTCTCCCTGAAACTCTGGAATGCTCTCCTTCTATCCCTGTGATGTGCTTTGAGATGTTCAGGTGTATCGAACCCCAGGGTTATTATCTAATATCAAGGAGCAACTTCGCCATCGGAACACACTTGGCTAAAAAACAGTAGTTTTTCTAGGAAAAAAAACTCTGCCAGATAAGAGTTGTGTTTTTAAAAGAGAAATACAAATTGGGAAACCTGTTCGGTTTGAGAGTTGAATTCCACAGCCCATAGTTGACATGCTCTCTGGGGGGGAGGGGGGAATGTAATTGAGACCCTGGAAATCTCTGAATATTATTATTTAGGGTCTAAAAGCTGAACATCTCTATTAAGAATGATTGCTTCCATATTTGCTTGGTAAAAGAATGTTATAAAGATTTATCGAAAGATTTATAGAGAGTATACAAGATGGCCCACTTTGTTTGGGGGCTGAGCCAACGTAATGCATGTTCGGTGGTTTCACTGTTTTAATTATCTATAATTTTGGTGATTTATATTTAACTGTAGGAAACCAATTCCCCAGATTCTTATGGAGCGAGAACAATTTGAATTTCTCAAAGTGTCTTGGGACGTCCTACCGACGTGAAAAGCGCTATGCGTATGTTGTTGTTCTGGGGATGGAGTAGGGGGATTTGAGAGATTAAGAAGGGGCTTTCAACAAGTTTAAGTCACTTTTCGGGATATATAGAACTGGCTTTCCACAGCCCCTCTGCCACAAGACACGCTCGCAAATCGAGCGATACAGAGCTGTTCATCAAAGCTCTAGGAATTGTGCTTCTAGGAATTCTAGAGAAAAAAAAGAACCTTTATCGCAATCGAAGGTTACGACAGGTCCCTTATAACGTGTGTTGCGTACGGGTTTGGGAGTTTTGAGCTGGCTGGAATCCCGTCGAAGTTTATCTTGTAATTAAAGCTCTCTGGGAATTTTTATTCGGCTAAAAAGTAATGAGAGGGGTTACCAGAGGCTTACTGTGTTACATTCAGCGTCACCACAACAGAAAGGGCAGTTCTACCAGAACCAGATGGGGATAGGAAGCATTGTGCGGCTTTGCAGTGGTTTTTGAGTCTCACAGTGTCGTTACGCAGAGCTCTCTGATGTTAAACCCCTCCGCGAAGCCAGACATGCTAACCACACGTTGGACATTCAGGCATTTCCTGGTTTCATTCTCATTACCCGACTTAATGACATGGAGCTCTCCTTATGGGTTTCTCCAGCTGCGTTGAATCCTACCTTATGTTTGACGTTGCAGCAAACCCAAGCCGGTCTTCTGAAAGACGGTCTTGAAAGCTTTCTTTACCCACCAAACGCCTTCCCCCACCCTCTGGAACTCCATCCCACATTCCCCTTCGCCTGGCTCCCTCCCTCGCCTCCTTCAAGGGCTCGAGTCCACATCCCTGACTGTCCAAGCGCCTTGGGACATCCTTGGAGATGTTAAACCCATGTCCCATCTGCTCGTTCAGATGGATGTTAAAGAATATTTAAGCACTGCACAGGCGAGTGGATAGAAAATACATGACACGTTTACATTTAAGTAACGCCTTTCATAGCGGGACAGTCTCTGGAAC